CACACTTCGCATTGGGCGAATTTGTCAATCGTGCGTCGTTTCCGCCCGTCAGGAATTTGTCTTTATACAGCGCTTATCAATTCCTGATAGTCAACGGATGGACAAACGGCTTCGCATTCATACTAAGCTTTTTGGCACCACTTTGGACTATTGGTACGCCTGCATTATAACGGCACTATGAAATAATATAACAATAATTGTGTCGAAGGTTCATTCGATTCCAGTGTTCACATAAGTGAGGAAGCGTCAAATGCTACTATTGTCGTTCCTTGGGCAATCGTATTGGCGGTGGGTACCGCTGGAGTGTTAGGCTGGGGTATGTGTTTTTGCTAATACAATAAATCATCCTGACGTTGAATTTCTAGCAATCAACATGACCCTTGCTTTCTGTATGGGGACGGATCTGCAGGCAGTATATGATAGCGCCCAACCTATGGCGCAGATTCTGTTCAACGGTTTCGGGCAGAAAGGAACGCTGGGTATCTGGGCGATTATTGTATTGGTACAGTACGTCGATCCTTTCATCCATCTCACTGTGAGATTGACTTCGTCTGTGGCAGATACATGATGGGCTCCAGTATTGTAAGCTCGTCTTTGGTTACGGAGACTGTTTCTTAATAATATATTTTTCTTAGCTTTTAGCCGCCAGCAGACAGACATATGCATTTAGCAGAGATCGAGGTATCACAATCTCTTTTATGATCACCTCAGATTGAACGCTCATATCATATGCCAGCCCTTCCATTCTCCAACTGGCTGTATCGAATGAATAGCTATACGGAAACACCGGTTAACACCGTTATTTTCGACGCTAGTTTGGCCATATTACTAGGACTACTCTCATTCGCGGGTACGAATGCCATCGACGCCGTTTTTTTCCATATCCGTCATTTCATTGTACGTCGCATACAGCATCCCGATCGCTGCCCGCTTTATCGGAGAGAACAACTTCAAGCCTGGGCCATTTTACCTCGGAATTTTTGTTAGTCCCCATGAATCGCGTTTACTTCTACGCACCTCTGACAATTGCACCTTGCACAGAGCTTTCTGATCGCACTGATAGCTGTATTGTTCATGGCCTTCACGAGCGTAGTGTTCATGTTCCCTATGACTCCCCAAACGACTGTTCAAGACATGAACTACTCCGTTGTAGTGCTGGGAGGTGTGACGATTTTCTCGTTGATATGGTATTACTTCCCGAGATATGGCGGGGTTTACTGGTTCACGGGTCCCATTCCTACGTTGGATCCCATGAGTCCTGTATCAGAAGACCTGAGCAAAAAGGAGACAGCCAACATAGTTACAGAGCTAGTTGTGGAATGATTGTTTTCAGTAATCCCACTAAGGACTTTTTAGAAATTGAGTATCAGTCGCGATCATTGCGCTTTTATCTGAGGGAAGAGTCGAGCAAACAGTGGGCTTATGGACAAATTTGAGTCGTAACTAGGCATGCTATTGAATCCCCTTGCTGTACACAACTGGACTTCAAAAGTGTCATGAAACGGGGGATCGGTTCGTTCCCAGTTAGTACATGCGCGGTGTCAGGCCAATAGTATTGTGCTCGGCTGAGCTCTGCAAACACATGCAGATGTACACCACTGTACCTACTTATATACTAAATGCTAATTTACTAGAATTATCTACACTTTTCCTGATACATCTTCCTCAATCAGCAAGTTCAGCATGATGCCAGATTGCTATCATCTCGGCTCAACTCTCAAATTCCAATAAAAAGCATTGATTGAAAAATGTACTATAATATCTACTAACTCAAGGCTGAGAACAGGTGTGGAGAGTAGAGAACGATCACTTCTTACCTGAGATGGCTGCGTAACAGACGCGTTATGTACGCGTGCTTGCGGCAGGATATGCTCGGGTCGAGCACCTCGATCAATAAATACGACATCCACTGGGGCAGAACTTCTGATACAGAGTCAATGCCAAAACATCTGGCTCATAAACACGAAGGCACAGCAGAGGCTAATGTGTTTAGCTGGTACAAAACAAAACCTTTTGAGGTTTTGTTTTTAGTGAAGCCTTTCTTGGTCCTGAAAAGGCCGTCACTAAAGCGATAAGAAAACCCATCCCCCTATGGAACAATGGAATTAAGGTACCTCTTTGTTTTACATCGCTCAAATTGAGGGCGTAAAAACTGAAGTTGAAATTTAAACTTTTTTACGGTCCCTTTTAAGCTATCCAAAACGCACCAGCCTGCAGTGAGGAGATGAAGGCCTTTTGGATGTAAACCAGAGGCATAATCCGTTAACGCTCTCAATGACTCTTAGTTCATTATGACTCTTCTCGTCGCTCGCCAGTTGTAGCATGATCAACATCCTCTGGTATCCACCGAATCGACAAAAGCAGTCCTGGGTGGTCTTTCAATGAAATTATAGCGCAAATTTCGAAAACGGGCCAGCGTTGAAGGTGATTCTGATCTCACATGATTCGCTTAGACTGGGAACGAGGCCACACTTTGGTAAGGACACCTCGCTATCACCGCCAACACCTTGTGGGTCTCATTTCGGCAGGTAAAAGGTGCGCATTGTGATATAATATCAAAGGTCCCTGTCGCGCTATTCTTGTTCACCAAAACATTTCTATTCAGCCTCTTCTTTGCCTGAAGCCGCTCTCTTAGCCTGCTCTTCCACTACGCACGATGAACTCCAACACCTACTTCAAACAAAATTACCTTGACAGGAAGGTACAGATATGGCTATCTCACCTCCGGCACCTCGGCGGTATACACATATATCAACGAACACCAACAATGTCTTCCATCTCTGGAAAGTGTTGCCTCGTGTCCCTCTCATCAACTTCTTTCTGGGGTATATTTCCGAGCAGCTTATCAAGCAAAACTGCTCGGAGCCAATCGTCGGATATCGGTGAAGAACCAATTCACGAACATAGCCGTGTATAGAGGGCATGAAATGTGTGGGGCGTATTGCTATAAAAGCCAGGTGTGTGGGCACTGTATGTCCTCAACGGTGATCCTACAACACTGCTCCAGCATCTGCTACCCTTCTACCCTCTTCTCCAAGTCTCTTCTCTTACATTCCGGACATCATTGTACGTGTCCGCAGTATCCATCTACGCAATGCGACTGACTCAAGCCTTGATACCAGGAACCATGTATTGCGGGTATCCTGCTCCTTACATCCAATTTATGGCCTCCTATGGTAGCCCCAGGTCCCGTCATCCTCCTATTCCTCGTTCCTACGCGAGGTCAGGAGAAGAGGAGGACCAGCCGTTCATGCCCAGCTCCGGTGGAGGCATCAAAATTCAGGATCCTAACTCGCCTATGTTGGGAACACCAAGGTTGGCGCCGTCCCCCAGTCAAGAGATTTCGTTATTAGATCAAGAGGCGTCTGGATTGGGTAGCCCGGCCCATGACGAGATGTGGACGCGCTCTACCGACCCTGTACGTGCATCTTTATAATAAGCGCAGAGTACCTGTTAGGCTTATGCGATAATACTATTCTAGGGTTATGAACACCGTGGATCGCCAACACCAGCGCGTTCTTCTGACGTTTCGGGATACTCCAGCGGCTCAGTGAGTATATCACGAATATAGAAGAACTTTAAACACATTTGAACAATAATTTCAGAGTTTCGAGGCTGCTACTTCCCAACGCGGATCGAACTCACCTCCCAGCGGATACCCCTCGACCTCTACGGCCTATCCTCACGGATACGCGACCGCAGTGACCGGCCTTCCATCTCCTTTTGCATCCTTGGAACTCGGACAGCGCTACTATCGCCAACACACTCTGGAACAGTCTCCACAAGTCACCCCTAAACGCGAATCCCCAGACTCCAGACCCTTCTTAGCAAGAGCAGATACCCAATACGACTTACCCGAACCCAGCGATTACCTACGGGAGTTCCTCAATCTACCACGAGGGACCCCCATCCGCCTCGAATCTCTCACCAATCCGCGCGACAGGGATGGAAGGCCTCCCTATACCATAATCCAATTAGCCGCAGCCGCTATCTACAGCCACTCCCATCAAAAGGCTTCCACAGCTGAGATCAGAGCTGCAATCATCGCGCGCTTTGAGTATTTCCGACAGAATGAGGGTACCTTGAAGGTTCGTCGGTCTGCTGCCGTTGGCGGCTGCATAGTGCTGACGATAGGTTATTGGCAGGAAACATTGAAGCACGCTTTGTCTTCTCATGATCTTTTTAAGAATATCGGACGCGCCGTATCCGAACCTGGGAGAGGTGGTCTTTGGGCCATTGATGTCACCAACCCGGAAGGAAGGCGTCCTCGCAAACGTAGGAGCCCCCAGTCTGCCGAAGATGCGAGTACCCCCTCCAGCAGTGACAGTGATAGCAGTCATTCTTAATCCAACCGCAGTACTATTCACTACCATCCCGTCTTGTATAGAATATCTTCCATGCCATCTTATTCTCTATCTTTCCGTGTCATGACTTCCACCACTGCTTTGATGTGGTTCTTTTAAATTCCATATTCTTGCAAATGACCTGTACCACTCAAATACCGCTCCGTTCTTCTCACTCCTCATCATGTAAAACGAGCATACTTTTCTTCTTCTTCAAAAGATACCATTCACAGCCTATTTTTGGCTTTGTAGCATATGACCTCGGAGGCGGAAGTGAAGAACCTCCGGTTGGAAGTGTCGTGAAGCCTACATGTAATCAAGACCTTCGAAAATGAGTGGTCAATAAATATTCGGTTTCAAAACTACGTTTAACTGCGCGACCTTTCTCAGTACTAACAGTCCAGGCTCCAAGACTGAGGAATGTGTACTATGCATGTCACTGACGACGGCGGAGGGCACCTGCCAGATCGAATTGCCGTAGTCTATCTAGAAATGGCTTTACCATTGCCTCAAGCTGCTATCAAACGAACAGATGACGATACAATATCGGACACGAAGGTGGAAAATGCGTGGGATCGAGTTCCTGACCCTGAAATCGTTCGGTGAATCGGCGTCTGTATGATTGCTTCAGGGCGGTCTAAGAAGACGTGCAAAAAATGGGGGCACCCGGGATCGAACCGGGGACCTCCAGAAATCCTATGACTTCAGTCTGTTGCTCTCCCAGCTGAGCTATGCCCCCATGACATTAAGGTGAAGATGAGATTTCCTTCATCCTTCTTTTATCTGCTGTCATCCTGGACCACTCACGGGAAACTTGCTGGCAGAGAGAACCGTGACCTTTACCTTTCGAAAGGGTCCGACTGCCCTCAGTTTCCAGACCTATCACTATGTTTTCAGAGAAATCTGGGGGAAATTTCAGGCTGGCCATGTCGACGATCAGCTATGGCCCATGGTCCTTGAGAACCGCGAAAATCTCTACATTCTTTGCCCTTCTCTCCTCAGCGTTCGCCACTTCTTCCCTAGAATTTGTTCTCTACAGTCTCGGTGGTAGTACTGTTGGAGTCGCCACAACCGTTCTCACGAACTCTTGGAGCCCACCCTTGAGATACTCCCGGTCACTTGCCTCTCTTGGAAAGTACACCACGGTGCACTCACTACCTCGCCCTCTTGAAAGGCGGTTCTCCCTTGAAACGATGCTACACTTATACAATATCAAAGGACACCAATGTCCTAGGGAACTACAGTTAGATTGAGAGTTTTGCACGTATTCACGAGGAAAATTACATGCATGCATCTTGACGAATGGTAGGAGTTTGCTCGATATAACAGATTATAACAGTCTATTAAATATTACAGAGAATGATCCAGCAAATAAGCTACACAAATGTCAATGTTGAGATACGCGTCCCATCCATCCACCAAATGCTCCATAATATATATACTCTCTCTGCTCCTACTTACTGTCCCCAGGCAAACAAACCGTCGTCCCAGGCATCAACACCTCACATTCCACCTTTGGGTTCCAGCCTTGCAGCTGCTCAAGAGTGTACCCATGCCTATTCGCGATCTCCCAACATGAATCGCCCGCCTGGACCCAATACGCCTGCATACCCTGCGAGCACGGGCTCTCTGGCACAGACAGGCCGGGAGAGAGGATAAGGCGCCATACGAGGAGAAGAACGACGGCGATGATTAGGAAGAAGGGGAAGAGAGTGCGGTAGGCACCAGGGTGGGGAGTGTAGGTCGTCGGGACCATAGGGCGATCCTAGAATAATGAGGAAGGGAGGTAGAGTGACGAGAAGAACGTACGAGGTCCGTAGCGAGCTGCTGGTACCCGTCTGCACGACGAGGAGCAGCTTCAATATCTTCTGTGCTTGATGAAGCGTCGGATACTGTAGTTTCTCAGCTAGCAGTGTGTATGCATCATAATAGTACACACCACGTGTCATTTCGCTATATTCAGCGCCTTCTGCACCCTTCCATGTGTCTCCATTCGCATCGCGGTAAAAGTATGCTTGGGTGTCCGAGTCGTGGCCAATGCGTTCCATGCCCTCTGGGAGGCGGTATGAGTCCTAGCAGAGTTCAGCATGAAGTAAATTTAAGAAAAGGATTACTCGCTTCATCGTATTGCGTCCAGCGGCCCATCGTAAGATCAAAGAAGTCGTCGTAGTTGTGTGGCAAGATAATTGCACTGCCACCGGCGGTTAGAGTTAACGGTGTGCTGAGGTAATCAGGAACACTACCAGCCCACGAGGCTCTCGTTTCCATCATCCACCATGCAACGCTGTACCCTGCTATAACCCTACGTATTTCGACCTTCCAACTTCTGTAGCCAGCGGGACTTGTTAGAATCGCGAGATTGACTCAAACGGAGTGGCAAAAATATGTTACTGTTGCAAATGCAATGGCACTGACGAGATATACAGGCTGGTCCCCACCGAAAAGAATGAAAGTCTAAGTGAATCCTTTCTGGAATATTAGCGGCGACTGATTGTTGACACGTGAAGCCAGTAATCCAACAATATTTGCCGCCGTATTTCTTCCGGCGTGCTGCACATGTCTCTCTCGCTTCTTGTACCGGTTCTCAATGATCCTTCAATATCCATATTCTCAGAAAAATACACGGTCCACACGCGTTCGTGTCATCTGACGATTTCACATGGTTTCGTCGCGTCATACGGTCCATCCTGCTGCCTATAACTTGGATGCATCCTACACAAACCTTTCTCGTCCGTGTGTGATGTTGTTCGGCTTTCTTCTCTTCTCTCTAGCTGCCTTGGTCCGTGGTGCCCCCACTTCGACGGATCTTTCGATTGGGGACATCATCAATGGCCTTGGAATTGGCCTAGTGTCCAACATCACCGTGACCATAACTGTACGTTCTTTCATTGTCAGCTTCATCGATACTAGTAGCTGACATTCATGTAGCTGGAATCACTTTCCACAAACCTCGTCGAGTACATCGCCCTTTCCTTCTTCCGTATCCAGCTGACCTCCATTAAACTAATGCAGCGTCGCATTCACCGGTAAGTTCCAGTCTCTCTTCTTCCTTCCCATCTAACATCCTAACAGTGAAGAACCCCCTCCCCATTGAGCTCACCCTCGAGCGCGTCACAAGTTCCGCCGGAATCAACTCCACCGAATACGCCTCCTTCGACCACACCTTCTCTGAACCCCTCGTCGTACCCATCTTCGGCACCGCAGATTCCGGCGTGATAGAGAACGTGTTGCTCACCCGAGGCGCGTTAGCCTCGCTCGACATCATCCCGTTGGGGTTTCTGGATTTGCTTAATACCGATGTCAACTTGCGGTGAGTCTCTTGGTTTGGCACTGATGATTGGGATGCTGATGGTATGTAGGGCTGCTACGATTTTTGGGAAATTGGGTATCCCGCTGAACATTACGGGACTCAAACAGGAGAAAGTCCCAACGGCGTATGTGTATCAGTGCTTTGCTTTGTTTGCGACGTCTGACGATTTTGACAGTTATGAGCTTTCCCTTGGCGCTTCATAATAATATTGTCCCAGTAATACCTACTTTCTGGATACTCGAAAGGCTCTTAGTTTGTGTACTTATTTGGCTGCCTCTGAGAAATACATGTTCTTGATGCACCATTTGCACTGTATATTCGACTTGCATCATGTTGCATCACCTGACGCATCCTAGCATTACTAGTGATATGCATCCAGTAGCAGCAGTTGCTGGGTCCTAATTCTTTCCCTGGCGAGTTTCATCCTTTTTTGTAACCTGTATCTTTACTGGTAGTACCAGAAAACGGTATGTATGTAAAAAGCTTGCTCAGTGGCTGCACTGCCAGCTCAGCACACTTTGCATGACTCAAGTATATGTTTGCATAGTTTAATAATATATATATATATTGCATTACTATATCTATCTAGTCATAATGAATCTACACATATAAACTCAATACTCAATACTTATGGTACGGGTCGTTACAATAGTGTAACAGCAGAGTTCGATGATGCCAGTGGGCCTATATCCCTTCACTGGAAGAACTTGATTCTAAAAACCCTCGAGATGTATAGGATGGATGATTGCAAAGCAAAGTCGACGCCATTACCCATTGGTCTAGACAGTATATAATAAAGCTGGACTCGTCAGGCTAGCCGGTCCTGTCCGTGAGCAATGGAATACATTTGATTTACGTAGCAAGAACGGAGAGTGAGCAAAATAAAGTCTACAAGAAAAGAGTCGACCAGTTCGTGCCATCCTCCGAGTCGGACGGAATTCAGATCGCTCTCCAGATACCAACCGTGAGAGGGCCGGTCTTGACCTCCGTGATGGTGACATCGGCTACTGCCTTCCACCACGGGGATTAGGACAGTTCAGCAGCCGGAGCATTTCGCGCTGTTCGAAAAAACCAGTACTGAACTTCTTGATCTGCACACATTCACCCTGCCTCATCAACCCGGGTTTGATGTCCGACATAAGAAGTGCGACTTGAAACAGGGCATGTATATTGCATATTCGAAAAGCATGCATGTCAAGGAAAAGCGCGAACCATCTACTCCAAACCAGCCCTGGCCTGCTTCCCTCGCAACTTCTTCGGCGGTGAGGGCTTGGGCTCCTTCTGCGCAGCAATGAGAGCAGAAACACGGGCAAGGGTAGCCTAGACGAAATAAGGTGTGTTAGTATCATGTCTACGAAATGTTAGAGTAGAAAAAGAAACGAAGAAATGTTATCGCCAAAGAGTCGGTGAGTCGCGTAGAGTAAAACGAGCGGGCCACCGATAGCGACATGGCGAGGTATCTAACAGGGTTTGATCGGCTCTGAAAGACCAATTGATATTGCAAACATGTCCACGCCCAGCTTTCATGCACTTTTCAGTGACTTCCAGTGGGTTCTAACGAGAGTGCGTCCAGGAGAGAAAAAGAAAGAAAGAAAAATAATCAAAGAAAAGAACATCTCACAGTACGGAGGTCTGGCCTGTATCCTTTCTTCGCAGACTGGGCAGCAATACCGAGGGCACGGCGTGTTCCCGATCTTGGGCGAATGTAAGAGGTCGCTTTGGCAGACACAACGGCGTGAGGAGAAGCCTTGGGTTTGCGGGCAGTGATTTTTATGCCAGCAGGCGAATCAGAAACGTCAATAGTCTGCAAAAGACAGAAAAATCTATCATCCTTCCGGTCGAACACGAAGCAGGTTACATACCTTGGCATTGGCCAAGCCAGAGTATTTGTATGAGTGAAGGTTCCGGAGGTTACCCTTAACACAATTTCAGGATTCATAGGGCTCGAAAGAGTAACCAAGACGAACGTACAGGCTCCTTGGAGAATATGGGTCCCTCGGGAACCCGCTTCACAAGGAAGGAGTTACTGTTCTATTGAAGCTGACCATTAGTACTTGTGTTGCATTGGGACACTGAAAACAGCCTACGAACGCGGATAAGGAGCCATTGGAGGTCTGAAGACATTTTGAAGGTATGCGATGAGGACGCTCTCCAAAAAGGCAGGTGATCAGTGGCTGAGAGCAACTGTACAGCTGGCTACAGGACAACAAAGACAAGCAATAGGAAGACTCTGCCAAGCAAGGTACAACATCCATCCATCCTCCGCCCGATCATCAATTTCCGAAGTCGTCGCCCATTGCTGATGAATGTTTACGCTCGTTGAATTCTTCTGCCGACCTCATTGAGTTGTAGCCAATGTGACTTGAAGAATCTTCCGCGATTGCTCTGTCATCTTTGCTATGCATACCTTTTTCAGCACAACCCCATCG